AAAAAAATTGGGTGGCATTGGTGGTGTGTTGGCAATTAGGCGACTCCGATGGGGGATGCGCTGTGGGCCTGTTGTGCCACTCAACGATTAGAGTACAGCGTTGGTTTATGCTCACTCTCTAAGTTCTCCATCTTCTCGCCTCTCACCATCTGTGCCTCAGCCGTCTCTTGTTCATGGTATCCAGTTCCCAGTAAGTACGGGTGTTTTATTATAATATAATCTAAGTGCAAGCTTTGCAACGGAACCGTCCATCATCTGGCCCTTTGACCTTAAAAGGGTCCATCCGCAGCGTGTTTGGCTTTTGGAATGCCGCTCCTGCGCCAGGCACCAGCTCAAAAGTCCCCCTTGTAGAATGGAGGGGCCTGACATGACATCTGGGTGGCAGAAGCTAAGACAGACCGCATGAGAAATCTCCCCTGAGTCTAGCTGAATTAGTAAGGGAAACACTAAGTGACATTAGCTCTACAAAGCAAGAGCAGAGTTTAGAAATTGCGGAGATAAATAGTTTAAGATAAGAGAAGATGTCGATTTGGTGGGTTCTAGTAGGATACAGGCTGATCTATTGCATTGGGCATGCGAAGCTTGAGCTATCGGCAAGTAGGAGTCAACCATAGGACGTTTTTAACAATGAGCTTGGCGGGTAGGGGGCTGGCTCCCACAGAGTCAACTGGACAAGGCCTCTTCCATCTTCTGCTCTGTCCACCCTTAGGCTTGGTGAGCTTCTTCTGCAGTGTGTGGCCTCATGGCTCCAATGTGCTGCTGCAGCTCAAGTATCACAATTCATAACATTAAAAGTTCCAGAACAGGAAGGACAGGTAGCAGTAATCTATTTCTCTATGAGATAAGGCCAGGATCCCCACTAGCAACTTCTTCCCTTTTGCTGCTAGATTTGGGTCGTACACTCCTCTGAACCAGTCACCATCATGGCACATCATGATTTGACTCTGGGTGCGGGCATCTGCTAAGAGGGTGGACTGGATCTGCGTTGTCTCATATCTTCCAGTTCTCAATCCAGGTAAAAATATGCCTCCTTCCAAATGATATTTCTGGTCCCACTTCCTCTTCATTCTTCTCTCCGCCGCTCACGTTCACGGGAGGGGAGCTCGTGTCCTCCCCACTTTTCTGCCAGTGTTTGTTCACTTGCATTCCTCCTTCCCGTTCTTTCCCGGCAGATTCCCAGCACCCTTTCTGATCCGGCACGCACCCAGCCGAAGCCACCTCGATGATCCGGATCAGCTCACCAGGTGGATATGTTTTCAGAACTGAGCCCCAAAGGCAGGTAGCACGCTTCACGATTATGAAGTTTCAGAGACCACAAACCTGTTATCTTTCTTCTTCTCGTTTGTTTTAATTGATGTGGGTTTTTTAACAGGAGCCGTGGTTGTCAGAGAGAAGGTCAAAGTTGAGCTCCTTCCCACACGACTCTAGTCTCTCTGTCCCCGTACCCCAAACTCTTGGCTCCCACTTCCATCCCGGCATCCTGTCGCCTTACCTCCAGGTGTCCTTCTGCTGTTACTTGATGCGCGCTTTGGGATGAATTTTGCAAATGATCTTGGGGAACCCCCAGGCGAGGCGGGGGCGCTCTCCGGTTCTGACCCAGCCTCCCTGGCCGCCAGGCACACGGCAGGCTGGGGGGCCGCTCGGCCTGAACACTCCAGGGATTCCGCCCAGGGGACAATTAACCTGGGGAAAAGGCATAGGTCAGCTGTGCGCCCCAGCAGGTCGCGTCTCGCTGTGCCACCTGCCGGGCCACCGGGAGCGGTTATTGGAAAGTCAAGCGCAAACGCCTGCATGCTCTCGCTGCCCACTGCCTCCGGTCACACGCATGGAACCGTTGTCGTCGCCTGTGTCCCAATGACCTTTCGGTAGCGTTCCCGGGGGGTGTCCGCGTGCGCACGTGGGTGAAGCGTAACGCTTCTTCCCCCCCCGTTCTCCTGCAAGCCAGACTTGCCGGTGGCCCGGAGAACCCGCATTGGAACCGGGTCCCTAACCTTCCCACCCCCCGTGTCCTTCGGTCCCTCGGCTTCGTAAGGGAGCTTTCCTTCTAGAAGTTCCTCTTGTAAACCTTTAGAACTTTTTCGCTGAACGGAATACATTGCTGAGAAACTAGTTCTCTTAAAATCAGAGACTGTCAGGAAACTTGGGCCGTTGACAGTCCTGCCGCTAAAATAGAACGTCCACGCCCCCTGCCGAAGCCGGTCCCTCCGGTCAGAGAAAGAAGCAGCTGGAGTTTAGCCCACCGAGCTTCAGGAGGAGGAGTTTTTGGTGCAAAATTCTACCTTTATCTTGCTTTGTATTTCCCAAGAAATGTGGACTCAAGTGGTCTTTCTCAGTCAGGCCTGACGCTGGCCCTGCTCTGCTGGAAGGCCTATCAAACGCGCTTACGGTTTAAATTCACCCACCCTGACCAAATGCTGTGATAACCGCCCCTTGCCTTTTTGCCACCTTGCGTTTGTCACCCTGGCCAGTCTCCCTTTCTGCAGCCAGGGCGTGAAGCTCACTTTGCTTGGGGACAGTGAGCAAGATGGGCTTATCGCGCCTTAGAACACTTCCCGTAGCTCATGCATTCTCATGCAGGATCCACGTTGGCCCCAAACGTGAAAATAGTCTTGGGGAGCAAAAAAAAATAATAAACCTTACAATGTTTTGATCTTCAAAGGGACAACCATACACAAGTATTTCGTTGACCGGAATTCATACAGGGAAGAAGTGCTGAGTAGAAGAAATAGTCCAAAGCCTCTTATTAGCAAAACGCAAAATCGTTTGGAAGCCACTTCCAATATTGTCGTGTCAGTGCCCTGGGTGCAAGCTGCCCACTCTGGCTCTCCGTGCTTGCCGCTGGTGAATGTGAGTTGCCTAGTCTCTGTCTTTGGGTCCCACCTGTTTGAGCCTTGGGCATCCCCATGAACTGCTCCCCTTGCCTGCGTTCTCGCCCGTGAGACTCACACCTGGCTCCCTCTGACCAGCAGGAGAGGCAGGTGCCTCCTCACCCCATGCCCCTCGGCCTGTCTTGTCCCGGGTGTCCACCCCACTCCCTTCTGCCGGTCTGGGTCCACGGTGTCCCTTCACCCCTGGAGGGTGCTCCTCTGCCCGTCTCTCCGCCGCCCTCCTGCCCGCTATAAACCTCATATCCCCTCCCGAACGATGCCCTTTCCCTTGACTCCTGGACCTTCCCTGACTCACCCCCTCTGTTTGGGCCGGCAGGGTGGGCTGGGTGGGCTGGGTGCGGTTTAGGGGCATGCAATGCCAGCCAGGAACGGGCCTTCCCACTCCTCCTTAAAACCCCGGGGAGGAGTTCGAACCTGTCCATCATAGAAGACATAATATCATAATGCAGGGTTTCCAGCCCCTCTTTGCTCCCAGGCTTGGTCCGTTTCCCATCCGGGAGCGGCGGGGCTCTCCCGGCTTTGACCCGTTCTCTGAACCACACAGACCCACGTTCTCTGTCACCTTCTAGCAGCCACGACCCCGAGTGCCTTGAGAGGACAACGAGCCGTTGGACAGGGAGGGACGGTTTCGTGCCAGCCGCCCTCATTCTCCAGAAGCCACCTCAGAAGAAAGCAGTGCTTAGAGGCATAGCAGTTGAACTCCTTAGCATCTGCATGTCGGTAGGCCGCTTAATCATGTTTCAGAACAGGAGCGGAACCGACAGCATCTCTGGTTGCGTTGTTGGGCGAGGCCCCGCGCTGTTCTGGCTCTACCGCCCCTCAGGGGGGAAAATGAAAAACGGTCCAAACAACACACTTCAGACAGGGAAATCGTCTTGAAGAACACCCACCTTGCTGTTCAGTAACTTGAAAGGTAACTGCGCTAATTATTTTTTTCAAGAGGTTTCTTTACTGCGAATGGGACGAGGGCCTGCTGATAGGCAATCTGCTTTGCGTTTCCTTCTCTTCTCTCTTGGGGCTATCGACACCTGTCCTGCTCAGAGCGTTCACTGACGGATGGGCCTGCGCAGTCGCTGCGCCGGACACGCCAGCTAAAGTGGGTTTAGGGCACCCGGCTTTGATTCAACTGTTCCAGCTTCTTTTTTTGGATTCTAGGGAAGGAACTGGTTTTGGCCATTTTCATCTGTAAGGTGTTTTCCTTCGTTCGTTTGTGAGATAAGAAATAATGTGTAGGTTATTTTTTTTTTTTTTTGAGACAGGAGTCTCGCGGTTTGTTGCCCAGGCGGGGGGTAGAGTGGTTAGCCATGTGTCAGCCTCGCTCACGCAACCTCAAACTCCTGGGCTCAAGGGATCCTCCTGCCTCAGCCTCCCAAGTAGCTGGGACTACAGGCATGCGCCACCATGCCCGGCTAGTTTTTTCTATATATATTAGTTGGCCAATTAATTTCTTTCTATTTATAGTAGAGACGGGGTCTCGCTCTTGCTCAGGCTGGTCTCGAACCCCTGACCTGGAGCAATCCACCCGCCTCGGCTTCTCAGAGTGCTAGGATTACAGGCGTGAGCCACCACGCCCGGCCCATTTTTATTTTTTTGAGGCAGGGTCTCACTCTGTCACCTGGGCTACAGTGCAGTGATGTCATCATAGCTCACTGCAACGTCAATGTCAAACTCCTGGGCCCAAGCGATCCTCCTGCCTCAGCCTCCTGAGTAGCTGGGACTACAGGTGCGCACCGCCATGCCTGGCTAATTTCTCTATTTTTAGTAGACACGAGGTCTCCGCGATGTTGCCCAGGCTGGTCTCGGACTCCCGGCCTCAAGCGATCCTCCTGCCTCGGCCTCCCAAAATGCTGGGATTACAGGTGTGAGCAGCCGTGCCCGGCCGGCCCACATCCTTAAGGCAGATTAGCTATTGCTTTTACCCCTGCAGCCCAGATCCTCTCCCAGCTTCTGGGCGTTGTGTTCTTTCGCCCACGTCCTGCGGAGTCTGGGTGTTTTTCCTCCATCCACCGGTTCCAGCAGAGCCACCCGACACCCCCACACACCGTGAAAGCAAAGCACAGAAGACGCAAACACCATTCTTTTTCACATGCTTCCAAATTTATTTGGGTAATTTTTCTTCTCTCATTGTTCATAAATGTCTCCGATGATCTGAATTGACTGAGCGATGGGAAATTTCCAGAAAAGCCTGTGGGAGAGCAGAACGAGCCCTCACCCCTGGAGCCCTGTGTTTTCCACCGCTGGCCTGCCGGAGGGCCAGGCCTGAAGGAAGGGCGGGACTTCCCCCTGCTCCTGTCCTGAGCCCGGGAGCCCCTGCTCCTCGCTCCCCCCGACCCTCAGGGAAGCACAGGGCTGGCCTGCAGCCTCGGGGACCTCATTCTTCTCCGAAGCGTCCTTCCCACTGACCCCTTCCCTGAGCCGAGTCCAAGGCATGTGGGGGAAGGGCAGGGCCGTGGGGTCAAGGGCTGGGCTTCAGCGCATGCACCCTTAGGAAGGCGGGGCACCCGCTCCGACCCCGGGCCACTCCGGTCCCCAGCCCTCCACGCCGAGGCCCTGCCCTGGGGGTGCAATCCCCGCGACAGCTCCGTGCCCAGAGGACCCAGCGCTCAGCCCAGGCCGCTTGCCCCCGGACAGCCCACTACCCTTCCTCTACTCGGGGCAGCCCCTCGTCCGCCGGCCGCCCTCCTCCTGCACCTCCGGTCCCACGCCGCCCCCCTGCCGCCAGGGCCCCCCGGAGCCCGCCCAGCTTCTGCAGCAGCTCCTGGAAGTCTGCCTGGAACCCGGACGAGGAGAAGTAGAAGACCAGGGGGTCGACGCAGGAATTCAGGGTGCTGAGGAGCAGCACGTAGCTCCTCCACGCCGGGCTCTCACCCTGGACGTAGCCCACCACATGGGACACGTTGTAGGGCCCGAAGCAGACGAGGAAGTTGAGCATCGTGGCGGCCACCAGCCCCGCCACCCTCCTCCGCCGGTGCTGGCTGGCGCCCCTGCCGAGGATGCACACCAGGCGGCTGTAGCAGTAGCTGGTGATGAGCAGGGGCAGCCCGAAAAGGACCACGGCCATCTCCAGCCGCACGGGCAGGAGGACGGCCAGCTGGTCCTCCTGGAATTCCAGGTAGCAGGTGCCGTTGGCGCGCGGGCCCCGGGCGGAGGGGCCCCCCAGCTCCACGACGTAGACCACGCTGCAGTGGGCAGAGGCCAGCAGCCAGCAGGCGCCGCTGACCAGCCCCGCCTGGCCCAGCCTGGGCCGCGTCGTGTACCACAGAGGGTAGGCCACGCTCAGGAAGCGCTCGACGCTCACGGCCATCAGGAAGAGGGAGGTGAGGTAGACGGTGGTGAAGAAGAGGAAGCCGGAGAGTGGGCAGAGGAGGAAGGGCAGCGCCCAGCGCATGCCGTGGGCCGCCTCCACCATGCGGAAGGGCAGGAAGAGCAGCAGGAGCAGGTCCGAGAGCGTGAGGTTGAGCAGGAGCACGTCCACGGCCACCGGGCGGCGCCGCAGCTTGCCCGCGAAGATCGCCAGGGCCGCCAGGTTGAGGGGCAGCCCCACCAGGAAGGTGAAGAGGTACACGGAGAAGTAGAGCCAGTGGTTGCCGGGGAAGAAGGAGCCGTCCGAGCTCTCGCCCATGGCCGCGGCCCCTGGTGGGGGAGAGACAGCGAGACAGAGAGGGGGACGGTATCGGGCTGGGGTCACCCATCCGCAGGGCACGTTGTCCCCACCCCCGCCCCTCACCCCTGCAGATGCTGTCTGCAGCGGCCTCAGCCTGCTCATCTTCTGGGTCCTGCCTGTCTCCTGTCCCTGCCCCCCGCAGAGCAGGCATGAGCGGCTCCCCTTGGACGCGGCACCCTTAGGGGCTCCCTGCAGCCCCTCCCCCCGGGCCCAGGCTCACCTGCGTCTCCAAGGCCCCAGGCGCTCCGCCGCACGGCTCCTCGCCGCCCGCCCCGGAGCAAGTGTGGCTAGCTATTTATCTGACGGAGCTGATAAAGGCCTGGCAGTGCCCATGACGTCACTCCCTGGTGGACAGCAGCACAAAAGACGCCTTGAGCCGCGTTACCAGGGCTGCGTCCGTATGCAAAGAAGAGGAGCAAATTCCACCACGGTGTGCCTGGCTGCTCAGGCAGCCCGGCATGGGCCGCCCCGACCAGGCTCCAGCGGACTCCGTCCTCCCCTCCCCTCCCCTCCGCTCGAATTTTGTCTGCTGCTCCAGGATGGCACTTGTCCAGTTCGCCTTGTAAGGGCAGGCGGCGTGACACGGGGGCCGCCCTGGACGCAGAGGCCTGAGCTCCACGCGACTCCGATTCTTCCTGGCTCTGTGGTCTGGGGCGAGTGACTTGAACTCTCTCTGTCTCTGCTTTCTCGCCTGCAAACCAGGGACGGTCATAGCACTGGTCCCCCAGAGTAAAGGGTTAATGCACGCAGGTTAGAACATACGTGCGGGCGGATCGAAACCTTACCAACAATTGTCAAGTGCTTTGAACAAAGCCTGGCACATCGGGGCGGGTGCTCGGCAGCTGTCAGCAGCCATCATCCCTGTCACTGGTGCGGCTTGTCTCTGGGGTGATATAATAATAAATAATAATAATGATGATGATGATGATGGTGGTGGTGGCCACGACAGCAGCTGCCTTTTAGCGGACACGCGGTCCACAGCAGAGACCTTGCTTCTCAGAGCATCACCACGATGTCCTGAAATCGTTTTTCCTCACCGTGGGTCACGGCTTGTTAAATGTCACCACCGGGGCCCAAACCCAAGCTCTGTCCAACTTCAGAGAGGATTTACTCGCTCATTCAAATGTCTGCGAAGCTCAACGCACTGCCATTTCGTACCCACTCGCACGACTGCAAGCACATAGCCGGACAGCACCAAGCGTCGGCGAGGACGTGGAGAAAGGGGAGCCCGCGTTTATTGCCGGGGAGAATGTGAAACGGGGCAGCCCTCACTTTGGAAAGCAGCCTGGCGATTTCTTAGAAAGTTAAACATAAATTTGCCCCGTGATCCAGAAATTCCGCTGTCGGTGTTTACTTAAGAGAAATGAAAACTCGTGTCTGCACGAAGACTTGCTGATAAGCGTTGGTGGCAGCGTTAGTCACAGTAGCCCAAAGTGGGAACATCGCCGGGTGGTCCATTTGTGAGTGGGTGGATAAACAAATGCGGGACATCCAGACAGTGGAATTCCGTTTGGCAGCAAAAAAGGAACGAACCACCCGTACACACTACAGCACGGGTGAATCTCAAAAAGATTATACAAAGAGGAACAAGCCAGGCATAGAGGACCGTATGTTGCACGATTCCATTTATATGAAATGTCCAGAAGAGGCAATTTTACAGAGACTGCGGATTGGTGGTTGTCTGGGGGTTGGGGGTGGAAATAGAGATTCAATGTCCATGAGTATGAGGGATCTTACTGGGGTACCGAAAACGTTCTAGCACTAGATTATAGCAATGGAGAGGCACGCTTAGTAAATTTACTAAAAAAACAAAAAAAAACAAAAAAAAACATTGAATTGTACATTTAACATGGGCGGATTTTATGATGTGAAAAGTAAATCTCAATTAAGTTGTTAAAAGTACGGCAGTGAGAAAGTTACTTAAGTTCTCTAGACTGTCTGTTTCTACGCTTATCAAACAAGAGTAATAGAACTTTCATGGGAGGGCTATTAGGAGCCCATTCATCCATTCAGCACACATTTACTGAGCACCTACTATGTGCCAGTCTCTCTTTTAGTTGCTGGGGATACATCATCAAATAAAGCGCAGATCCTTGCCCTTGGGGACTTTTAAGCATGAAAAGAGACCACTGGATACAGTTTGTGCACCAGCAATACAGCTACCACTTGCCGTGCTCCTACCCGTGTATCCATGGTGTTATTGTCATTAGAGAAACACGTCTGATGTCTACACCTCGCCTCCTCAGAGCGCATGCCAGTGCGTCTGTCTCCTTTGCAGCCCTCCCTCTCAGGGATTTGGGGTGCTACCCTTCACCTTTGCAAAAGGGACCACAAATACAGGCATTAACTCCAATACCCCAAGTCTTCCAGATGTCCCCCGGCCCTTGGGGGTCTTGCTGGAAGGATCACATCCTGCATCTACCTCTTCCTTGCTGTAGGGCCTCAGGCAAGTTTCTTAACCCCGTTCCAGGACTGTAGCTACTCCATGCAGCACCCTTTTGCAAGTTAAGAAAAGGCACCCTCTGTCCAGGGGAGAATGCCCTACGTCCAGGTGCACTGCCCAAGGAGCGGGCAGTGCAAGGGAAGATGCTCAATCCCTGGAATGGAAGCAAAGCAGGCACGTGGTTTGGTGAGCTACCATTTAGCGTTTTCCCCTCTGCCTGGCATCCTCAGGCAGTGACCCCCCCTGCCCACTTGCACGGCAGTTGCATGGCTGCAATGTGTGAGGATGAGACGAATCAGCACTCATTGTAAAGTGCTCAGTGTGACGCCTGCGTGTATCAGAGGCTGTACCCTTGACCCTTGAACGGCACAGGTTTGAATCGTGTGAGTCCACTTATTTGTGGATTTTTTTCTCTTTCAGTAAATACATCAGAACATTTCCTGGATATTTTTGACAATTTGAAAAAATTCACAGTCAAAAGCCTAGAAATATTTTAAAAATTAAGAAAAAGGTATGTCATGAATGCATAAAACATGTAGATACTAGTTTATTTTATCACTACTACTGTAACATACAAATCTACTATGAAAAGTTAATATTTATCAAAAACGTATGCACTCAAACTCAGACTATACATAGTGCCATTCGCAGTCAAGAGAAGCGTAAACAAACATAAAGATGAAGTATTAAACCATAACCACACAAAATTACCATAGTACATAAAGTATCACTGTAATAATGTCGTTGCCACTTCCTGTTAGTGAGATCAATTGTTTTAGGTATCTGCTTAAAATGCCATACGGCACTAATCTTCTCCTTGCAAGCAGTTTTTCTCTCCAGCATATTGTGTTTTGAAGTAGAAAGTGATCTCCCATAGTTCTTGTGTATTTTTCGTTGGGTTTAGTGCAATACCATAAACCTCAAATAACCCCATGGGACCCCTGCGAAGTGCCCCTAGTTATACCGTCAGGGCCCCCAAAAGGCAGAGAAGTCATGACATTACAAGAAAAAGTTGAATTGCTTGATATATTGATGCCATAGATTGAGGTCTACGATTCATCTTGCAAACAGACGATTGTAAACTTACGGTATCGATAAATACGTTACAGTACTGAAAATGAATTTTCTCTTCCTCATGATTTTCTTAATAACATTCTCTTTTCTCTAGCTTACCTTATTGTAAGAATACAGTATATAATACATATAACATACAAAATATGTGTTAATTGACTTTATGTTCATTGGTGAGGCGTCCTGTCAATAGCAGTCTATTCGTAGTTTAAAATTTTTGCAGGGAGTCAAAATTTACATGTCATTATGGGTGCTCTTGGAAAAAAAAAGTTATGCACAGATTTTCCACTGTGTGGGCATCGGCGCCCCCAACACTGCTGAAGGGTCGACTGTATATTTATTGCTGCAGCTACTACAATTTTCCTGTGCTTGGTGTCCTGCCGAAGCATCTTTTGTGCACAGCTCTAATGCTGCCCCCTTGTGACCGCAAAGTAGTATAACAGCGTCATTATCCTGCCTTCTGCCTTAGTTTTTTTTTTCCTCAAATGATTTCCGAGTAGCATCTCCTAAAATGCAGCATTGCAGTGGCAGTTCCTCTAGATGAGACTCCGACTTCTGTCCTCTCCTTCCTCCGAGCACAGAGCTCTGCCCACAGGCAGGTGAGGACACTCGGAGGGCAGACGCAGAGGCAGGAGGGGAGCTTACCTTCCCCCTGCGGCCCGGCTCCTGGCCTCCACTCTTCACCCCGGCCGGGCTCTTTCCAGGAGCGGCTGCACGGGTGGCCCAGGGCAAGGCTGCCCTGTGGTTTCTCCGCAGCAGCCCCCGCCAGGGGCCTGCACCGCCACCGGCCCCTCCGGCTCTATGCTCCTTCCCCGCAGCGGGGGCTGCTACTTCTGGGATGTCCCTCCTTGCGTTCTTCCTGCACACGCCGTCCCCCCGCTGGGACCCCTCCCCAGGTAACCGGTCACCAGCGGATTGAGCACGACGCTCCAGGCACCTGTGATGAGCCCCAGCTTCCGCCAGAGGCTGCCCATGTCGGGGTGCAGGAAGCCGGCCACGTTGGAGGCGTTGTAGGGCCCTAGGCAGAACAGCAGCGTGAGCAGGGCCCCGCCGGCCACCCAGGCCGCCCGCAGCTTCCGCCTGTGGCTCAGGCCCGAGTGAGCCAGTGCGCGGAGGCAGCCCACATAGCAGAAGGCCGTGACGGCCAAGGGCAGAAAGAAGAGCAGGAGCGAGAGGCTGAGGCGGGCCGGGCCGGCGGAGTCCGGGTCCCAGGCCTCCAGGCAGACGGGAGAGCCGTTGACCGGCGTGCTGACGCCCAGCCAGCCCCCCGGAGCCTCCAGCCCAAACACCAGCCCCAGGTGACAGAGGACCAGGGCCCATATGGCCACACACACGGCCCAGGAGTAGCGCGGCCTGCGCACGGCCTGGTAGCCCAGGGGGAAGGCCGCGCCCAGGTAGCGGCCGGCGCTGAGCGCGGCCAGGAAGCCGGCGCCCGCGTACAGCGGCGCGAAGTGGGCCACCGCGAAGGCGGGACACAGCGGGGCGGGCAGCGGCCAGGCTCCCGAGGCCAGGGCCTCCGCCGCCTTCAGCGGCAGGGAGACGGCCAGCAGCAGGTCCGAGCAGCCCAGGTGCAGGGCGTAGACCAGGCTGGGCGTGAGGCGCAGCCGGGCCTGGGCCGCGGCGCCGCGGATGGCCAGGGCGTTGAGCGGGACGCCCAGCGCGAAGGCGGCCGCGTACAGCGCGAAGGCGAGCTGCGGCGGCAGCTGCATGGGGCCGGCGCCCGCGCCCTGGCTCCCAGCCCAGCCGGCCCCTGCGCTCCGGTCTCCCGCCCGGGCCGAGGGGCTCCGGGGCTCACACGCCGCTCTCAGCGCCGCTCCGAGGAGCAGCAGCCATCTCACCAGACGACGGGGACAGGGACGCATGGGAGGGCCAGCGCCGGGCAGCAGTAGAGCCCGCACGGGGCACCGGGGAAAGAGGGCACCTGTGGAATAACCGAGAAGACAGAACTTAGCCAGGCAGGTCCCAGGGTGGGGGAGGCCTCCCCATGTCTGAGACCCTGTAGGGAGAAGGGGTGGAGGGAAGCGAGAACAGGGCTGAGCCCTGGGAATGGGAGTTGGACCCCCGAGGTCCCTCCGCTGCCCCCAGTTCCCTGGCACGGGAAGGAGCCGCTCCCCGTGGCGAGGGCCTGCGGGGCAGGGATGGGGCAGTTGGGGTTTGGGCGTGACGGGCTGCGACCAGGGGCAGGCAAAGGAGGTCCCCCAGGGGGAGAGCCCCAGGGTAAGCTGGGAGCCCTCAGGGCCATGGGCATGACCTTAGCAGACCCAGGGGACACCCGGGCAGGGGCTCTGGGGCCTGGGGAAGCGTCGTTGGGGTGTAGAGGAGCTGTAGAGAGAGGGACTCACCTCTTGGCGCTGCCAGCTGTCTCTGAGGCTCAGAAGTGCCCTCCCTGGGCTGCTGGAGGATGCCCGGCTCGAGCAGTGAGCCGGAAGGGAGCGAAGGGCGGGGGCCTGGGCCATTAGCCTGAGGCCTCGCAGCCTGGGTGAGCAGCTAATGGGGCGTTGGGCTGGCGCTGAGGCTGCTGGAAGGAGGCGAGGGGCTACGAAGGTGACGGGGACACAGAAGGGGGCGAGGAGAGGAGTCTGGGTTTGGTCTGGGTGTGGTGAGGGGTGCATAGAGCCAGTCCCAGAGGGAGCAGGGTTTGTGGGGCACAGCCAGGACGTTGTGGCTTTGTCCCCTCCCCTCTGCACTCGCTGGCGGGGCCAGGCCTTCCCTACTCCTGCACACAAAGAACACCGCAGTGGCTGTGGCCACCCACGCCATCTCCGAGTGGCAGTCACTGCAAGGTGCAGCTCGCACAGGCTGCAGGCCCAGGAGACGTGTGCCCCAAGCCGGCCGCTCAGCTTCCTTCCCTCGGCCCTGGGCACCCGGCCGGCCATCCGCCTCCCCGTTGGGGTCAGCTGGCCCTTCCAGGAGGCCTCCTAAGCCAGATTTCCAAGAGCGCCTAGCTGGCCCTCTCTCAGACGCGGCCCACGCGGCCTGGCCAGTGGAAAAGAAACTGCCTCTGTGAGGCTCCATCACTGCACCTGTGCCTGTCTGTCTGTCTGTCTGTCTGTCTCTGCTACCCCAGGTGTGTGTGTCGGCCGCCAGACCGCGATGCACCTTTGGAATTCCAAGTCGCCCATGAGAACCTTCTGGAAGCTCCTCTCCCAAGCCTCCCGGTGGAAACAGCACGGGATTCCCAGCATATCAATCGGCAACCCCTTCCAACGACATGGTCTCCTGTCCTTTCCTACCCGGAGAGAAAGTGGCCAAACGGGCGCTCGCTTGCCTGCTTTCCACTGGCGCAGCCTGTCGGCGAGCGCACGGGGCCTTGCCGCCCGCCCGGCGTGTTTTGTCTTTGGGCCACACTGAGAAACTGACGGAACTGGGGGCGGGTGGAAAGGAACGCCGCTCCAGGGAAGACATGGGTCTTCCAGGGGCTCCCTGCCGCAGCCCCTCCCTCCCGGCAGGTCCTGTCTCAGCCCCATGTCACCTGTCACCTCCTTGGAGGGCCTTCCTTGACCCCGCCATCCAAACTGCCCCTTCCCTCCTCCGAGTCTATCCCGAGCGCCCGTGACTCTGGGACGTCGGGTTTGTCAGCTCTCCTGCAGGAACGCCGGCCTTAGGAGGCGACGATTGCGTCTGTGTCGCCCACCCTGTGTCGTGTAGTAGGTGCTCAGGCAGCCCAGCGAGTGGCAGGTTGCCGGGCCCTGGGGGGGACGGTGAGGTCTGGGGCGGGGCGGGGGAGGGGGGTTCCGCGCTTCCTGGCCACCTGCTCACCGCGCCCCAGCGATGCCTGTTGGCAACCACGTCTCGCGGTCAATGGGTCGCGAAGAGGGTTTATGTCAGCAGCTGGGCGCAGGGAGGGGCAGGATGAGCAGGCGCTTGTCGGTTGCCGGGAACCTGCGCCGCGCCCGTCAGGCTCAGCGCTGCCTCCAGCTCCCCGGAGGGGACCCTGCCCTGAAGACCCCTGGGCGCCCCAGACTGGACTAGAGACCCCCCAAGATGGGAACTCCGTCCAATCTTTTTCCCTGCCCCGGCGACCGGCTGCCGGGTGCGTGCTGGGTGCGCGGGCAGGCGCTCCGCGAACGTTTGCGGGATGAATGAAACAATGCCTGAGTGTCAGTGGACCTCGCTTTGGGTACCGAAACCACAAAACTCTCCCCCTCTCTCTCATAAACCGTTCTCGAAGTTTCACCTTCCTCCAGAAAGGTTACTGGGGACACAGTGGATCGACGCGTAAATCGGAGCCCCACTCTGCCGCAGCTGCGAGAGTTGCCATCTCTGTGCCGAGCGGGCGTGACAAGGGAAGGTGGCACTTTGGGGGCGCCTGCCGTGTGCCGGGAACTGCACGTTCCTCACCTTGGCGACTGATTAATCGCAGGTTTCTGCCCTTGCGGAGAGCGACTTAGCCCCGTGGCAGGTGGCAGGGTGAGAGACCAAACTAACCGGAAAGCCTGAATCGGTGAAGATAACAGGGGGCCGGCGGGGAGGGCAGCGAACGACAGGGGAGCCTCGAGGTTTCTCACGGCTGCTGGCCTTGGAGCAGCTGTGGGTTGCGAAAGAGCGTGGTGGGTTCATTCTTGAGAAGAGCCTCGAGTATCGGATCGGCTTCCCCTTTTACATTCTTCGAGAAATGCAAATAGAAGACAGTGGCAATTTGTTTTTTCAGGGACTTTTGGCTGCTGTGCTAGGCTTCTTAAATCGTGGCCCCAGCATAGATAAGATCATTCCACACCTCTTATCCTGAGCCCCCTGCAGGGTAGGCAGTGGCGTCTCCATTTCACAGGTGAAGAAACGGAGGCTGGGGGCAGGTGGTGAACCCTGCCCAAGGTCACTCGGCTAGCTGAATAGAAGGGCCAAGGTCACACTCATGCTGGTCTGCCTGCAGAGCCCGCGCACCTTTCCTAACAAGTCATCGGACCCTCGATCATAGATCGCTGGGACTCCCTTTTCTTCCTCTCTGGGCCCCCACGATGCCTCCCCCATCTTCCCCCTGCGCTCTGACTCACACACCGGAAGGAGCTCTCTCTGGTCCTTTGAAGGGTGTCCGAGCCATGTTTATTGTGCAGTTCTCTGTCTGTGACACGCATGTCACACCACTGCCGGTCCCGGGCCCCGGGAGCCCCGAGCGTGGGGGCCGGGCAGCGCGCCCCCTGCCACAGAAAGCCTCGCCGACGTGGAGACCCGTTTGCAGAGCAGAAGCCAGCTGGGGACAGTGCCTCTTCCTACCCCCATGTCTGTCCTTTTCCGGGCTTTTTCTCCAGATGCAGAAATTGGGCTTGAACTTAGTGAGCAGGGGTGCCGGCACAGGGGAGGGGCCACGGGCACAGGGATGGGGAGAAGGGAGAGTGATGACAAGCTGATCCTGGCAGGGACTCGGCCAGCTGGGGGATGGTGGCAAAGGGCCGGGTGGGGGCAGGTGTGCACGTGAGTTTTGGGGCAGGGAGGACCATGGGGAAAGACCAGGGGTGGGCCCTTTGGAGGGCTGGGGTCACCGGCGCCGGACAGATGTCTCTGGGCGAGGGCTAAGGTCGTCCACAGTCAGTGTCGCTGGGGAGAGAGGACGGGGCGGTAGGGGTGCCGAGGAGGTCACGTGGCCGCAGCTGAGCAGGGTGGCCGGGGGGCTCTGCGGTTTCCCTGGCCCCTGCTGCCCCAGGTGCCTCCAACCACAGCGTCACCGTGACCGTCACCGTCAGTGCTTGAGGGTCACGTACTCCACGCCCTCCCGTGCCTGGGGCCGCTCCCCAGCCCCAAACCGAATCAGCTCCGAGTAGTGAATGCCCTCGTCGTCCGGGGAATGTGGGGCCACGTTCTCATAGTCACCCTGAAAAAGCCGTGCGGCGGGGAGCTTGGCCCGAGGGTCCCCAGCCTCCCTGCCTTCTGCCCCTCCTCTCCTTGGCTCCACCCGGTACCCCGAAAGCCCGCGTGGGAGTCCTCTTGCCCAGAACCTGGATGCCCTGGCGGCGTCCAAGACTTGGGGGTACCTGCCCTGGCTCTGTGACCGGCCCCAGCCACCACCCAGCGTCTGCCCGAGCCCTTCCCGTGGGCAGCACCGAGGCGCCCACGCCCCCACCGCCCACGGCTCCGCCCTCTTACCACGCGGCGCTTCTGCACCACCGAGTAAGTGACCTCGTCGCTGCCGTCCTGGCGGAGCCTCTGCGACCCTGAGTTCCCCACGTCTCTGGGAGGGGCGGGATGCGGGCGGATGACCACAAAGCCTTTCCCGAGAACGCTCCTCTTCCTCCCAGCTCCCCCGGCCCCCAACAGCACCCCAACCTCCGCGCCTTGCTCAAGAGGACCTGCCGTCTCCAGAGTGCCCAGCACGCACTAGAAACGGGAGCCGAGTGCACGAGCCCAGGCCTCTGTCCCGAGGCCTTGATCTTTGTGATAAAAGACCGGCTCTGGGCCAGGCGTGGTGGCTCTGGGCCGGGCGCGGTGGCTCACGCCGTGATCCCAGCACTCTGGGAGGCCGAGGCGGGCGGATCGCTCGAGGTCAGGAGTTCGAAACCAGCCTGAGCAAGAGCAAGACCCCGTCTCTACTACTATAAATAGAAAGAAATTAATTGGCTAACTAATATATATAGATAAAAATTAGCCGGGCATGGTGGCGCATGCCTATAGTTCCAGCTACTCGGGAGGCTGAGTCAGCAGGATTGCTTGAGCCCAGGACTCGGGAGTGTGAGGTTGCTGTGAGCGACGCTGATGCCACGGCACTCACTCTAGCCTGGACAACAGAGCGAGACTCTGTCTCAAAAATAAATAAAAGAAAAAGAGGAAAAAAAAAACACCAACTCTGGGCATGCACGCCCCTGGCTTGGGAAAATCACGGTCAATTTCAGAGACTGTCATCCACCCGGAGGGTGGTTACGGAGCGGGAAAGAGGTAACGAGAATATGGTGGCGCCGGGTGGGGCAGGCGGGCCACCCTCCCAGGACCCTCGGTACCCGGCGCCCGGTGCGTCGGTCTCGGGAAAGCGCAAGGCGGCGTAGCTGACGGCCTCGTCCATCACCGGGTTGCAGCAGCCCATGGCGTGGGGGCCTTCAGAGAGCGGGGCCCTTCTCATCTGGGGGGCGGAAAAGCCTGAAGCTCTGAGCACTCTTTCCCCAGCCCGAGTCCCTCCCCGGGCCCCCGGCAGCCCCGATCCGCCCCCACCCAGGACTCTGCAGCACCCGCCTTCACCCCGTCCTTCTCTTGACTTCAACATCGCCCTGCACGCGCCCTTTCTCCGTCCTACCTTTTTATTCCTCACGAAGAAACTCTGACCGCTGGAGTTTTCCTGAAGCCCCTGCTGGCTGCGGGTCCTCTTCCAGCTAAGAAATAGGGGCAGGTCGGTGGGGTCCAGGGAGGGGACCGGGACCCCGTGGGTTCGGCAGGATGGAGCACCCAGCAACGCGCGTCCAGCCAAGGGAGAGCTCGGGGGGCCGGGGGGGGGGGGCAGCAGGAGGAGCTCACTTCCGCCAAAACTTGACCCCGAAGATGACCAGGATGAGGACAGCCAGGCAGATCCCGAGGACCACGGCCGCCCGCCTGCCGATGGTCTCCGGGCTGTCTGGGGGGGAAGGGGGAGACCTCCATCAGTTAGGGGCAGCGCCGGCCCGGAGGGCGCCTTGATCTCCCTCTGCGTCCAGCCCCTGCTCGCCCGCACGTCTTCGCCTCTGGGCGTGGGAGAGGGGGCAGGAGGGAGGGAGACGCCGGTCCCTGCCCTCCAGCACCTGCTCTGTCCCCCGGGGGCTCCTGCCTGCCCCCAGCACGGCCTGTGACCTGCACCCCCGAACGTGGGTGCGACTTTCAGGGCAGCTTGGCCACGCTGCGGGGACTGGCGCTGACCCAGCAGTTCCTCGGGGGGACTGTCCCTGCTGGCACGCCCGGAGCAAGAGGCCGCCGCACGCCTCTGTGCTGAAGTGGCCCCGGGGAGAAGGTCTGGGACAGTCTCACAAGGGGGCACGGCGCAGCCCTGAGAAAAAGCAACACTTTTCGGGGTGTCTGAGAAGACTCAGGGAACAGGGATTGGGCACGGTGCGTCTGTCGTGTTGCCACGTAACACGCTCAGGACGTTTCCCTGTCGCCCCGGCCTCACGGGCGATGATTCTCTAAATTTAAAGCCACGGTTCTGATCATTAATCTGAAACAGTACAACAAATAAACTAAACGCCTTCCCTACGTTTGCAGGCTCTTTAGATGCTCTGCAAACACACAGACGGGACAGTCTCCAAGTGGTATCGGAGTGTGAGCTCTGCTGCCGTCCGTGTGACAGGGAAGGGGGCAGCGACGTGGACCTGTCTACAGGTACCACGTGGCCACAGCAGCCCCCAGAGGGAGCCGGCGTGACTGTGCACAGCCGGGGCCTCTGGGGAGGGGACGAGGGTTCTCAGAGACCAAGGGTGACAGGCGCCTGTTTCCACTGCTTACCGTTCTGTGCTTTAAAAAATTATTCTACCGTGTGCTTGTATTCTCTTTTTAGAAAGCCACTGAAATCTCAAAAGATAAAGATAAGGAGGATGAGGCCTGGCGCAGGTGGCTCACACCTGTCATCCTAGCGCTCTGGGAGGCTGAGGCGGGAGGATGGCTCAAGGTCAGGAGTTCGAGACCAGCCTGAGCAAGAGCAAGACCCCGTTTCTACTAAAAATAGAAAGAAATTAGCAGGACAACTAAAAATATATAGAAAACATTAGCCGGGCATGGTGGCGCATGCATGCCTGTAGTCCCAGCTACTCAAGAGGCTGAGGCAGGAGGATCGCTTGAGCCCAGGAGTTTGAGGTTGCCATGGCACTCTGGCCCGGGCAACAGAGTGAGACTCTGTCTTAAAAAAAAAAAAAAAGAGGCTGTCAAGGGCGAGACACAAAAAGAGAGAGAGAGACAGAGGGACCCAGCCTGCGAGGGAGCCATGGAGGGTCGGGAGGGCAAAGGGGAGGTGGGGAGGGAGCCCGGTGGGCTGGGGGCAGGGCAGGGCCTTACAGTAGACAGTGAGGGTGCTGGGGGGCGACTCGCCCTCCCCCAGCCGGCTGGCGCCGCGGCACCAGTAGGCGCCCGAGTGCTGGACCCTCACAGGGTCCAGCCGCAGCGTCCGGCCCGCGTGGGGGAGCTTCCCGTTGTTCCCGTCAAACCAGCTGTACTGGGAGACAGGAGGGTTGGCATCGCTCTCGCATGTCAGCGTGGCCTTCTCCCCCTCCGTCACGCTGGCCCCCGGGGCCAGGGACACCCGCAGCCTCCTGGGAGCATCTGCAAGGGGAAACAAAGTCAGGCCCGGGCGGCCGGTCCCCTGCCCTCCCCTGTGTCCCCGGCCCCCAGCCCCGGCCACTCACACAGCACTCGGAGCCCCCAGGCCTCCGACGCCGTCTGTCCTATGGAGTTGCTGACCGAGCAGCTGTAATTCCCAGCATCTTCCGGGGAGACGGAGTCAAGGCTGAGTTCTCTTCCTTCCCCCAGAAAGCTTCCGTTTTTCTCCCAGGTGAAGCGGACTTCTCGGGGGCGACTGCCTGAGAAGTCGCATTGGAGGACGACCCGGTGTCCCGAGTGAATCTCGGGACGGGGGTTGGTCTGCTGGACCCTCACGTCTCTGGGGGCATCTGGAGGGCAAGGACCTCAGGCTGACCTCCCAGTTCCCCGTCCCTCTTGCCGTCCGTCCCCAGGGCTTCCTCTCCCCGCCAGGCCCTCCTCCCTCGATTCCGTCAAAGACGCTGGACCGGGCTGCATTCTCCTCGCCCACGTCCCAGCCGGGCCACTGCCCGGACCCCCACGCCCCGTCGGGGACTCACAGTGGACGTTCAGGTCCACGGGGGGCGCCCAGGAGCACCAGCTGTTGCAGGCTGCGCAGGTGACGGTCCCTTGGTTCCAGGAGACTTTCTGAATCACCAGCACCCCAGGCGACTGCTCACCCCAGGAGCCCTGGGGTCTCCACTGGTACCAGGTGACTTCAGGGTTACTGGAATTGTAGTGACAGGAAAGGGTCACCCGGTCCCCTTCTCGAATCGGGGTGGGGTTTTGAATCACCGTGGTCACGGTCTTGGGGGCATCTAGGAGAAAGCCAGACAGGTGAATGGAGGAAAGCCGGCTTGCCCGGTATGCCCTTGCCTTCCTGCTGCCCGTCCCGCCCGCCTCCCCCCTGCTTTCTCGCAGTTCCCGAGTGCATCAGAGGAGGCCGGTGCCTGCCTCCTGCATTTGTGAGGCTGGAAGCCCTGCCCGGCTGGGGTTGGAGGCAGAGGGCACAGCAGCTCAAAGCGCAGCGCTGGGGACAGACCGCCAGACCCAGCCACGTAGAGCCACAAGGCCACGGGCTGCAGGCTGCAGGTGTGCTCAGCTGTCCAGTGGGGTCTGGAGAGGACCTGAGCTTGTGGAATCGCTGCAAGGGTGACATGACATGGCGCCCTTAGACCAGAGCGTGGCGTATAGAAAACACTCAGTCATCCCTATCGCTGCCGCTGCTGCCATTGCCTATCCAGCTGTCCAGGTGTTCAGGACCTGGGCATCTCCATCGGCACATGTGACACCTTGGGGTCCGGGGAGCAAGCCTACGAGTTCCCTTTGTCCTGGGCTCCACGCAGTGACAGGATTCACTGCGTTTACCCTCAAGAACTTCAGGACCTCCTCCGGGACTAGGCCACTGCGTGCCGCGTGGAGCCCTGGCGTCTTGCAGTTCATTCCTTCATTCAACAAGCATCGACTGAGCTCCCGCCAGTGCCAGGCCCTGCCCTGGGCGCCGGGAACACACCTGCGAACGGCAACGACGCCCCTGCCCCCGGAAGCTTCCATCTCGGGAGACCCTGGCCTCTGCCTGCGCTTCCGGGTCCCCTGTCCCCAGAACCGCAGGCTCTGTGGCTACTCACACTGGACGTCCAGCTTCGCTCTGGGGCCCACCTGCCCGAGGCCAAGGACGTTTTCTGCCAAGCAGGAGTAAGTCCCCTCGTGCGAGAGGAGGACTCTCGGGATCCGCAGCTTCTTTTCCGTCTTCCCCGGCACTATTTTCCCGTCGTGATACCAGGTGTAGTTTGTTGGAGGAGGATTGGCCTGCGACTCGCACATCAGCTCCGCTGTTTTCCCCTCTACCACGGGAGTCAGGAGGCTCTGAACCGCGGAGGGTTCTGGAGCATCTGGAAGAAGGGGCAGCGGCAGGTGGGGAGGTGAGGCTGACTTCTCGGGGCCCCCCAGATCCAGCTGCGCTGGCTCCCCGCCCCTCTCCCCAGCCCCGGGGAGGCTCACACTGCACATCGAGGACCACTTCCTCTGACTGGCTTGTGCCCAAGGCGCTGGAGGCTTGGCACCTGTACTTCCCACTCATGTTTCTGGCCACCGAGGGCAGCCTCGTCTCCTGCAGCCTCAGCGGGGCCCCGTCCTTGAGCAAGGATAGGGTGTGGTACGGCGGGTTGCTGCTGATGACCTTGCACGTCATGCTCACGGACTGCCCCTCCTTGACGGTGGCTTCAGGGGGGCTGACGGTGATCTGAAGCTGCGGGAGGTCTGGGGGAGCAGAGGGGCCGGGGGGAGGGGGCGGGCAGTCCTCAGGGGGAGGGCAGTGTGAGAGGGGCAGTCAGTTTCTATTCTGACAGGGCAGTGGCCCGCTGGTCCCTTCCCCCGGCTGGCTGCCGCGGCCTCCTCACTCAGCTCTCTGCTTCCCGCTTCCCACTCCCCTAGCGGCGGGATTCCTAATACCGAGTTTCCCCGAAAATAAGACCTACCCGTAAAATAAGCCCCGGCAGGATGTCTAAGCATGTGCGCCAGAGAAGCGCCTCCCCCCTCCCCGAAAATGAGCCCTAGCGACGGGCGTGGCTGCGCTGCGCGTCTGCACAACCCGTGCGTGTCGTCGCGGGGCGGGAGAGAAGACGAGCAGCCCTTCTCATCCGCCCCGTGACAGCTCTGCGGCTCGACAGGAGAGATCGGGGCCGATGGTTCTAGAGGAAATAGAGTCGCAAGACATTCAGGATGGGATTCGGGGTTTGGAGAGTGAGGACGATGTTCCAGAAGAAGACGACTTAACTGTATTTGAATAAATGTGGATGGTTGTCCCGTACTTAAAAAAAATAACACATCCCCTGACAATAAGCCCTAGGGTGTCTTCTGGAGGAAAAATAAATATCAGACCCTGTCTTATTTTGAGGGAAACAGGGTGCTGTCAACCAGACCTTGTCATTCCTTGCTTGGAGACACGCAGTGGGTTCCACACTTTATGGCCAGATCCCAAAGCCCTCCCCGCCACCTCCCTGCTCTGGCCCTGCCGCCCTCCCAGTGCCGCCTCCTCCAGGCCTTGCCTCGCTCTTTTCCTCTCCCGGAGGCTTCTTCTCATTTCTTCCCTCCCCAAGTCAGCCTCGCTGCTCCCCTTCCTCGGGGAGGCCTCCACCCGTCACACCCCTGCCCTCCCTGCCCCGTTTCCCCTGGTCATGTGTCACTGCCTGCGGTCAGGGTCTAGATTCTCTCTGCTAACCCGTTCACTGCCGTCCCCCTCGCTGCCGTGCCCGCGCCGTGCTGGCGGGGACTCTGCTCACTGCCGTTTCCCACCCTCCCCGCCCCCGGCCCCCGGCCAGGACGAGACCTGGCACCCAGTGGGCTCACGGCAGATATTCGTTGAATGAACGAATGAGGCACAAAATAATAACGGGAAAAATATTCCGCCGCAAGGCAGAACAAAGAAAGCTAACCCAATAATCCCCAAAACGTTGCCCTGGCTTGGGGATAAGATTATTTATTCTGGGCCGGGCGCGGCGGCTCACGCCTGTCATCCTAGCACTCTGGGAGGCCGAGGCGGGCGGATTGCTCAAGGTCAGGAGTTCAAAACCAGCCTGAGCAAGAGCGAGACCCCGTCTCTACTATAAATAGAAAGAAATTAATTGGCCAACTGATATATACATAAAAAATTAGCCGGGCATGGTGGCGCATGCCTGTAGTCCCAGCTACTCGGGAGGCTGGGGCAGGAGGATCGCTTGAGCCCAGGAAATTGAGGTTGCTGTGAGCGAGGCTGATGCCACAGCACTCACTCTAGCCTGGGCAACAAAGCGAGACTCTGTCTCAAAAAAAAAAAAAAAAAAAAAGATTATTTATTCTGGGGAGGGAGGGGAGGCAGGGGCAATGTTTGTAACCCTAGCAATATTTGTACCTCCATAATATGATGAAATAAAAGGGAAAAAAAAAGATTATTTATTCTGTTCAGCGGAAGGAGAGGTGGAAATGACCCTGTGTCCCAAAACACAGGGCTGACAACAGGGACGGAGGGAAGGGGCTCTGGGCGGCCACACCCTGCTGGGGGCGGCCGCGGGTTGATGCCCCGGCCTTCAAACTGGGGGGCTCCTCTCACCCGCACTCGGCTCATGCCCACGGCGGGGCTGGGGAGAAGGCGAGGGGCTTCATCCCTCCCACGGGCGCAACCGGGAGACTCACGCTTCACATCCAGCCGCACCGTTTCCTCGGAGAGCACCCGCTGTTCCCTGTCGCTCCAGAGCTGGCAGGTCACGTTCTTCCCCTGGTGACGCCACCGCGGCCGGAACCTGAGCTCGCTCTGGATTGAGTCCATCGTGGCAGAAATGGAGGTCGAGTTGTACACAGGCTCTTCTTCCAGGGACCATAGCCATCGGGTCCGGTACCCAAAGCAGGTGAAATTCAGCCAGCAGGTCAGAGTGGCTTCCCAGGAGTCTCGAATTTCTGGAGGGAGCCGGATGCGAGGCACAAGAGGCCTCTCTGCAAAAAGAGTGGAGGTCGTGCCGGAGGCCTGGGGGCGAGGATGGGTGCAGACACCTGCCTGCAAGACGTCCCGTCCCAAATAGCCCCTCGGGAAGCCCTTGCCGGTGGTCCCTTCCGCCTCTCTCCAGTCCTGCTTGCCTCCGCTGTGAGTCACGCTTGTTCAGCAGAAATACTCTCCGAAAGGCCTTGGCGATGCTGACCCTCCTTGGGAACTGCCCATCTCATTCTTGTTTCTGGATGTTTGCAAGATCATTCCTCCCACTAGCCCTAAGTGAATCTGACCAGTTCAGTTCAACACGTATTTTTGAGCTCTGATGACAAAACTGTGTTTGTTTAACGGCCTGGGCGTTGGAGACACCCAAGCACGGCATTGCTTCAGCAGGACCGGTCTTCGGCTCCGCCCCCGCCTAGACCACCCTTCAGACCGCAGGGCCTGAGACAGCAGCCCTCACCCCGAACACAGGGCTGCTCTAGAACTGTCCACCGAAGAAACGGGCAGCGGAACCACACTCTCTAGGGTAGAGGTCTCAGACCTGCGTTTCACAGGCCACATGTGGGGCATCTAGCCTTGAAGGGCTCATTGGAGTTAGCCACCAACATGAACACATTGGGAGATTTGGCTTGAAAATCCAGGTTTCCATTTTCTCTCTTTTTTTTTTTTTTTTTTTTGAGATAGAGTCTCACTTTGTTGCCCAGGCTAGAGTGAGTGCCGTGGCGTCAGCCTGGCTCACAGCAACCTCAAACTCCTGGGCTCAAGCGATCCTCCTGCCTCAACCTCTCGAGTAGCTGGGACTACAGGCATGCGCCACCACGCCCGGCTAATTTTTTCTATGTATTTTTAGTTGGCCAATTGATTTCTTTCTATTTTTAGTAGAGACGGGGTCTCGCTCTTGCTCAGGCTGGTTTCGAACTCCAGACCTCGAGCGATCCTCCCGCTTCGGCCTCCCAGAGTGCTAGGATGACAGGTGTGAGCCACCGCGCCCGGCCTTCCATTTTCTTTTGAAAAATCACAAAATCTGGCACCGTGGAACCCAGGTTCCAGCACGGGCTGGGGGTGAGGGTGGGGGTGGCGGGCGGAGGGGCAGGAGGCGGGACAAGTGGCCCAGGCTGCGGTTGGCCACGGCCTCTTCTCGTGCGGCCCTCGTTCCCCGCTCGCGTCCCCTGCCGACCTCTGCGGGCAGCGTGGTTTGTGACCCCCGTTCCAGGACCTCCCTCCTCACCCCTGCCCAGGGCAGAGGGGCTCCCCCAGCCCCCGCCCTGCCAGGGCCTTACCAGAGACGTTGAGGTGTATCTCCTCCATCCACTTGTCCGTCTTGGACACCATCCTCAGCCCCAGCTTCCCGCTGTCGTTGACGTGGACCCGGCCGATGCTCAGGCTGCAGTTGTGTTTCTTGCCTCCCAGGAACCGGACCCTTTGCTGCTCAGAGGGGGGCTCTGCCAAGTTCGTGCTCCGGAAGAGGACGGTCCCGTTGTAGCGCTTGGTGTCCTTGCTGTACTGGGCATCGTGGTACACGGTGACGTTCTCCAGGTCGTCGGAGTTCGGGATGGTGTACTTGCAGTAGATCCAGACGCAGGCCCCCTCCCAGGCGTAGACGGTGGGGGGGTGATCGAAGCTCCACTTGTGTGAGCCCGAGAAAGCCAGGCATTCTGAACTCACCGCAGGGATGAGAAAGCGTGATTGGGGGGGTGGTGGTGGTGAGAGCTCGCAAAGGAGTCCAGAAATCCCACCCCCCACCCTACGATAGCAGGAGCGACAGGGAGGTGCGCAGAGACAGAAGCACGTCGGCGTGTGTGTCCACCCTCCGGCCGGCCGGTGCGCTGCCTGCCCCACCCGCCCCGGCGTTTACTCTTCTCCGCCCCAAGTCCGTCCTCCTCCCGCAGTGCCCGCTGGCGTCCCCGAACCCGAGTCCCAGCCTAGGCCACGGTCCTTACCCAGGAGCAGGAGCCAGGGGCCAAGGAGACGCATGGTGCCTGGTCTGGGCGCTCGCCTGAGCCGGGAAGAGTTTGCCTTTGAGCCACCTGGGCGCTCACTTCTCCCACCCACCGAGCGCCAGCCCTTCCCCCACCCCAGGAGGGCCGGCCTGGTTGCTTCCCGAGCCGAGCGTGGGGGCTTCCAGAAGCTCTCGGATCTCTTTCCTTCAGCCCGAGAGCTCCGTGGGGGCTTCCTCTCTCTCCCCCCAGCAATCCTCCCTCCCTCCCATCTATTCATCCATCTATAGTTTTATCAACTTCCTGCCCAGCCCTTGGGCTTTCAGTGGCACAAGACCACCGAGTGCACCCCCCTGCACCCCCACCCCGTGCCAGGCACCGGGTCACTGGAGCAATTGCTGGGGATTTTGTTCAGGGGAGAGACAGGGTCAAACTCTGATTGGAAAGAGCAAGAAAAAAATACTTCTAAAACCATCATCAAGTACGGCAGCCTTGGTGTTGGAGAGGCCAGGGGGGCATTTAGAGGGGTCTGGAGGGTCTTAGGAGAACATGGTCCAAGGGTGCCACTCAGACACCCCCAAGGGCCAAGCAGCAAACACACATCATCCAAGTGGGGACAAAGGCCAGGCCTTGCCTACAGGTGGCTGCTGTCTCAGTTCCAGCCAGTTCTTGCCAGGCGGAACACGAGCTCAGCCCTGTCTTCCACTGTTTGAAGAAAAATAAGAAGCCCGATTTTTATGTGACATGTTCTGCTTTAAAAAAAAAAAAATACACAGAGCTGGTCAGACAAAACCTATCTGTGGATTAGATCTTGCAACGTCTTCCCGTCTCTCTCCGGGCCACGAGCTCGCCCTCCACCATCCTTGACTTTTGCACAGAGTTGCATTTACATAGAGTTAAATTTAAGTCGCAATTTACATAGCTGTGGCCCTCTGTGCTGGCCCCTGGGGAACTCACAGGATGTGACCACAGAGTGTGACTCCGGTGCAGCCCCGGCCCGAGCCCCTCCCACCCGCCGCCAACGTTTCCCACGCACCAACACCCGCTCTCTGGGTCTGTTTATGTCCCCAGGCTTCACGGCTCGAGCCGTGAGGGCCGCTGGGTGTCCAGTATGGGGGGGGGGGCGCTAGGCTGCTGGCCCAGAGCAGGAAGGGGATCTGTCCCCAAAACTGGGTTAAAAAGTTAAGGAAGATTCTTTCCTGCGGGACTTAGCATCACAGAGCTGCAGACGTGGGGATCGGAACACAGCCCCGCCACATCCAGCGCATATGTCTTTGGCCCTGGGATCGATTGCACATTTCTCAAACAAAAAAACAAAAAAACTTTGCAGGGCTGCAGGGCCAGCGTCCTGAGAGCTACTTTGGGATCCCTGTAGGGTTTCCTAAAGGGGAAACAAAGGTTGAGGCAAAGGACTAGATTCCGTTGCCCAGGGCAACGATTCACACATCCAGTGGCTGGGCCACTGTGTCCCCTCCGCCAGCCACACTGTCATCGGCTCCAGTGGGACAGGGGCACTTCCAAGCAGGGCTGCCTAGTACTCGCCCCAAGGAGCTCCAGGCGGTCTCTGGAGCGGGGGAACCGGGGCCCCAGGCCTGGGAATGGGAAGGCCTAGGGGGCAGGGTGGGGTGTGAAGGCTAGGGACCATAGTCACAAAGCCAGGACAAGGCCACACTGCCCGCACCTGTGGCCTGCTCCCTGCAGGCCTGTTCAGGGCCGTGCAGAACCTCAAAGCCAACCCCCCACTCCCGACTCCCTTCTTCCCTCCTGGGCATCCCTCCTGCCCTCCCCGAGCCTGCCCAGGGGGATGCTCAAAGACAGGGGTCTGTCAACCACCCGTCTGCAGGCAGGAGAGACAATCCCCCATGGCACATCCATGCTGTGTCCCCAGCCCTGGGACTTATGCAGCACAGAGCAGCTGCTCCCTGCTTGCTCCTCACATGCCAAAAAAACCCAAAATGATTTTTACCTGTTTCCTCTTGTCTTCCCTCTTCAGGGACCCTGGCGGTGTCTGAGAGTGAAAGGGGAAGTCCAGTGAAATCTGCAGTAACCGACTGTCGCCTCCTTGGCCACGCCCCCTGCCTCTGGAGGCATCATGGTCTGGGGTGGGGGGGTCCTCAGACTACAGCCCGCGGGCCACATGCGGCCCGCCGAGGACATTTATCCGGCCGCCGGGTGTTTTGCCGACGCTGCCTGTCCTGCTTAGCAGCCGACTCGTCCTGGGCCCGCAGTGCGCATGTGTGGAATGTGCACCCCACTCTCCAACGACAGTGAGCTGGCCCCCTGTTTAAAAAGTTTGAGCATCGCTTCTCGGCCTTTTGGCTAAGATCAAGTGTAAAAAATTTGAGCAAGTGGGGAGGAGGGCATGGGCAATATATGTAACCTTAACACTTGTACCCCCGTAATACGCTAAAATTAAAAAATAATAATAATAAAAAATAAAAGTAAAAAAAAATAAAGAGGCCGGGCGAGGTGGCTCACGCCTATAATCCTAGCACTCTGGGAGGCCGAGGCGGGAGGATCGCTCGAGGTCAGAAGTTCGAAACCAGCCTGAGCAAGAGCGAGACCCTGTCTCTACTATAAATAGAAAGAAATTAATTGGCCAACTGATATATATAGAAAAAATCAGCCGGGCATGGTGACGCATGCCTGTAGTCCCAGCTACTCGGGAGGCTGAGGCAGGAGGATCGCTTGAGCCCAGGAGTTTGAGGTTGCTGTGAGCTAGGCTGACGCCACGGCACTCACTCTAGCCTGGGCAACACAGTGAGACTCTGTCTCAAAAAATAAATAAATAAATAAATAAAAATAAAGATAACTAAACAATAATAGAGAGAAATAATAAAGAGAAAATAAATAAATAAATAAAAATAAAAAGTTTGGGGACCCCTAGTCTGGGGAGTGGGGCACAGAGACCACGGCGGGATTCGGGCCTGGAGTCGGATTGGGACGCTCGAATATCCAGGCTCAGTTCCTAGTTTCGGGCTGCGGGTTTTCTGTACCAGGTCACTTTCAGAGCCGGCTTCTCCGCCCCCCGCCCTAGCCCCGGCTCTCAGGAAAGGCTGGGGCCTCAAGCCGCGCAGAAGAGCAGGCGGCGAGCTGGAAAGGCGCCTGTCAACTTGAAAGTACTGGGGGTTCCATGGCCCCTGTGCGGTGATTTCCACGCCCAATGCCCTGTGTCACAGGCGTGAACCAGGTGGGGCATCCGGCAGCCCCAGGGGTCCAGGGAAGAGCTTAGACACCAGGAAAGAAGGTGGCTCGTGCAAAGTATTACTGAATTGGGAAAGTTTTGAGACTGAAACCTCTCCACTCGCATGGGGCTTCCGGTCAGCGTCCCAGGAGCAAAACCAGGCAGCAGTCAAAGCCATGCAAAGCCTGCAGGTGACACGGAAGCTGCTGATGGCTCTTGGCTCTGATCCAGCTGCTCTCTACCGATGGACACAGAAAGAGGGAAGAACAACTTCTTCACAAAGCGGTGCTGTTCTTGAAGCATGGAGTAGATACACTTTTCTTCTGCTAAGTGCAACGGGACGCTCTGTCTCATAAAACAAGCAGAACAAGACTGAAAGGTGGAGAGGAGGCAGATGAGTCGGGAACCTTGGTGCCCAAGGAATGACACGGTGGTGCCTTCCCTGAGTTTTCCCTTCACCTCGTGTATCCCAGATCGGGTGTGGGAGAAGGCAACAATGGGAAATGCCAATGAGCCTCAACGATCAAAAAAGTTCTGGCAAAACTCTGCTTTTCTCGCCGAAGAACCAAGATAGTGGGAAGATAGAACGCTACCCGTCAAGAACTGCCCTACTCCAGCCAAACACCGTAGGGAAGACTACAGCCTCGCCCTCCGCCCCGCCAGCAAAGGCTGGGTGGGGGGCCCAGACTTCCACCCCACCCAGGCAATGACAACGAACCCCGAGCCACTCCCCATACTTGGCCGGCTGGTGCCAGGGCAGGTGGAGTGTGGCGCTGGGACTTTCCTCTCCCTGGGGTCACCTTCCCTGCAGCATCAGCGGAGACCACATGGGCAGCCTGGCATCAGTCTCCACCTGACATGGTCGTGAGACGTTCCTCCCCCCGACTGGAGGGGTGCCAGAGGAGGCCCGGAGGAGACTCAGGACTTTCGCCCCCACCCAGCGGTAACAAGCCCCCTCCAAGGCGTCAGTGAAAGCAAAACGGGGGACAGTCATGAGCCCCCCCCAAAAAAACCAGGGTGGTATTAGTGAAAACCTGGTGAGGAACCTGAACTCCCACCCCTGCCCAGGAAAACAAGGAGTCCTCACCTCCTGCCTGAGGTGTCAAGAAATGCTGAGTGGAGAACCTGGACTTTTGCACCCAGCTGCAAAGAATGAGGCATTCCTCGCCGCCCCCCCCCCTTCATTTCGCTGGGGCAGTACACAGGGAGGCCTGCTAAAATATAAGATTTTTTTTTTTTTTTGAGACAGAGTCTCACTTTGTGCCCAGGCTAGAGTGAGTGCATGGCGTCAGCCTAGCTCACAGCAACCTCAATCTCCTGGCTCAGGAGATCCTCCTGCCTCAGCCTCCAAGTAGCTGGACTACAGGCATGCGCCACATGCCCGGCTAATTTTTTATATATAATCAGTTGGCCAATTAATTTCTTTGTATTTATAGTAGAGACGGGTCTCGCTCTTCCAGGCTGGTTTTGAACTCCTGACTTGAGCAATCCGCCTGCCTCAGCCTCCCAAGAGCTAGGATTACAGGCGTGAGCCACCACGCCCGGCTTAAAATATAAGATTTAAATAAGATCCGGAGTCTTACAACATAATACCCAAAATGTTCCCATCGAAAATCACTCATCATACTAAGACCCAGTGAGGGAGAAAAGACAATCAGCAGACACAAAGGCCGAGGCGACACAGGTGCGGTGGCTCACACCTGTATTCCTAGCACTCTGGGAGGCCGAGGCGGGAGCATCACTCAAGGTCAGGAGTTCGAAACCAGCCTGAGCAAGAGCGAGACCCCGTCTCCACTAAAAATAGAAAGCAATTAGTTGGCTAACTAAAAATATATAGGGCAAAAAAATTTAACCGGGCATGTCGGGCGCATCCTGTTCCAGCTACTCGGGGAGGCTGAGGCAGGAGGATCGCTTTGAGCCCAGGAGTCTGAGGTTGCTGTGAGCTAGGCTGACGCCACGGCACTCACTCTAGCCCGGCACAGGTGAGACTCTGTCTCCAAAAAAAAAAAAAAAAAAAAAAAAAAAAAAACAAAAACACAAAAATACAATAACTGAAATAAAAACCTTAATGGATGGACTCAACAGCAGAATGGAGACTATAGAAGAAAGAATCCGTGAAATGGAACATAGAACATAGAAATTACTTGTTTTGAACAACAGAGAGAAAATAAACTAAAAGAAAATGAACAGAGCCTCAAGGACATGTGTGCCTGTAATAAAAGATCTAACATGTGTGTCATTGGAGTCTCACAAGCAAAGGAGAAAGAAGGCAGGGCTAAAACAATTTCCAAGACATAATGGCTACAGATTTTCTTAATTTGACAACACACATGCACACACACACACACACACACACACACCATATACTACAGATTTAAGAAGCTGAGTAAATCACAAACAGGATAAACCCAAAGAAATCCATGCCAAGACACACAGTTAAATTTCTAAAAACTAGAGGCAGATAAAAAAAAAAAAATCTTAAAAGCATCCTCATAAAAATGGCACATTACCTGCAGCAGGGAAACCATTCAAATGACAATGGCTTTCTCATCAAAAACCATGGAGACCATAGGAAGGTGACACAATATTTCTCAGGTGCTGAATGAAAAAAACTGCCAACCCAGAATTCTGTATCTAGTGAAAATATCCTTCGGGAATGAGGGGGGAGTCAAGACATTCTCAAATGAAAGAAAACTCAGAGAATTTTTGTCCAACACAGACCTGCCCTAAAAGAATGGCTAAAGGGAATTCTCTAAACAGAAAGGAAATGATTAAAAAAAAAAAAAAAAAAACACGCTTGAAGCTCTGACTGAGGAGGGAAGGGGGGGAGTGGGCAATATATATAACCTTAACATTTGTACCCCCATAATATGCTGAAATTAAAAAGAAAAAATACAAAAACAACAACAAAAAGACTCCATCTCATACCTCCTAGGTCTGTCTGAAAATGAAAAGCTATATTCTGTGATAATGAATAACAACTCTGAAAAAAAAAAAGAAGGAATCTTGGAACATCAGGCAAGAAGAACATAGAAGAGCAAACCTATGGGTAAATACAATAGATCTTTCTTCTCCTTTTGAGTTTTCTAAATTATGTTTGACAGTGAAAGCAAAAACTATAACACTGTCTAATTCTGTTGTCAATGTGTGTGTAGAGAAAATATTTAACAACCAAGCAGGAAGTCAGCAAGAATATATAAGAACTCAAAATATTGTAAACCAACAGAATCGAATTGACATTTATAGACACATTCACGTAACGACAGCATAATATACATTTTTTCAGCACTTATGAAACATATACCAAGATAAGCTATATCCAGGGCCATAAAACAAGCTTCAAAAACTTTGAAATAACTGACATCATACACAGTATGTTCTATAACCACAATGGAATCAAATTAGATGCAGATAATAACAGAAAGATAACAGAAAAATCTCCAAACACTTGGGAACGAACACACTTCTAAGTAATCTATGGGTCGAATAGGAAATCTCAAGGGAACCTTTTAAAAATTGCATTATACTGAATGAAAATGAAAATAGAACTTATCATATTTCAGGAACATAGCCAAAGCACAAGAGGGAAATTTATAGCACTAAATGCTAACATTAGAAAAGAGGAAGAGTCTCAAATCAATAATATAAGATTCTATCTTAGGAAATAGAGAAACAAAGGCTAGGTGCAGTGGCTCGCACCTGTAATCCTAGCACTCTGGGAGGCTGAGGCGAGGGGGTCACTTGAGCTCAGGAGTTAGAGACCGAGCTGAGCAAGAGCAAGACCCTGTCTCTACTAAAAATAGAAAAATTAGCCAGGCGTGGTGGTGCATGCCTGTAGTCCCAGCTACTCAGGAGGCTGAGGCAGAAGGATCGCCTGAGCCC